GCTCCCGTGCTTCTCCCCAGGTGAGACTCCTGATTTTCTCTGAGGTTAATCAATAACATTTTGTTCTTTTCAGAATCTCTTCCTCACATCCCTTATCCCCTACCGTGATCGCGTTCGTTTCGTCAAGTGATCCTGTAAAGGTAACTAGTCAATCTTGGCAGATCTCCCACAAAAAAAAACAATTTTTTACAGACTGCTCTTTGTGAGGAAACTTGGTTGAGGCTTTCGGACAGTCACGTTGTTTTCACTTCCCGAAAGAAGCAGCAACAGTAGTCACATCTTTCTTCCGTACAGGCCTGGGTCTTTGTGGTCCTCCTTCAGGTTTGCCAGTTATTTTTCAATGCTACCTTTATGAGTTTGAAGTTGATACGCGATCTACGCTTCAAGACCTCATTGTTCGAAGTTCGGATCGAAAAGTTAGGGTCTCGATGTGGTCAGGGTTTTGTCGCTGATTCCCATCCGCGCCTCAGGCACTTCATAACGCTCTCCAGGCTGCCTTCATCTCTTCCAGATCTATAGCGCCTTCACCCACCGCCGTGCGCAGCCCGGACCACCCTCCGGCTCTCGAGCGACTAAGGCAAACACATGAATCATCGTCTAGCGTCCGGCGACACAGGAGTAGAGAGTAATGGGCTAGCTAGGAGGGTGCGGACTTACTGGTACGAGCATGGCGCGAACTAGGAAGGATGGAGACAGCTGGGGCGAAGCAAAGCGCACACTTTTGACACTATGACCTCGGCTACTCCATACGTTTCCTAGCGCCCTCAGGATGCTGGATGTTTCCTACTGGCGCGGGCTGGTGGACGCTGCTAGCCATTCGCTAGATCGATACTCATCTTCGCTCACGTCGTTCGCTGACGCTGACCGACGCTGACCGCAAATTGTGAACGCCATATAGAGGGTTAATACCTGCCAAAGTTTATTAAGTGAGCTTTCTTTTCTCAGTTTAGCTCGAAAGCATTATTCGCCGATCGCTACCTTCCACATTATTTTTCTTGGTATATAATGACCTCAGACGATACATACGTGCTGGTCGACGATCTGATGCAGGTAGTATCTCTTCTGGGCTCAGTTCGACGACGAGGGGGGGGGGGCATTTTGCACTTTCGCTGCTTCACTAGTTCCGGTTTCACAATCACTCTGGTGAAACCTGTGAACTCTTGTGAAGCTGGAGCAAGCTCGTCGAGCCACCATGGTAAAGTCCTATCAACGCTCACGAAGTGGCTCACTAGATGGGTCGACACGTCGAGTAGTAGAAGCGCAAACTCTCCCCCATCCCCCTCCGTCGCCGAACTCCCCTTTGTTTGTAAACTGCGATTATTGACCTTACAGGACCTCGCTGCATTCGACTCCGATGAACCGTACATGGCTGTCATTGGACCGACAAGCATGGTGCAGGTTATTTTCAGTTTAATGTTTTTCTAGCTTTGTCGGAATCTGGGCTATCTTTCTGGGGACTGATGGAATTCGGGGCCTGGTATCGGAAAGCCTTTAGAAACTCACACATTCCGTGATTTTGTGAAGAGCCATGGGTGCTATATCCCTACACTGAGTAGTTTCAATTGTATAAAGGTAATTGTTCGTAATTAATTTGATGCTAAGGCGCCTTGCTTGAACATAATAGCCCTGCCCATGGCATGAAGCATAAGCATGAAGGATGAACCATTTCCGCAGAACAACAACCCGAGGAAAGCGCAACCCATCGTGAGGAGGTCATGGCTCCGCCCACTGGCCGCGGCAATGCCTAATTTCCATTCTTAAAGGCATCGCAGTGGTGCGATCCTACCGCTATTAGGCCTCTCCATTTCGAATTATGAGAGTGAGGTGATAAGGAGAAAGAGCTAGTTTAGCTATGATATAAGGGAGTGAGAACTGGTCGGCCACGCCCTTTCCTAGCTTCAGGAGCGCACAAGTCATCCGATTAGGGACTCTATATGAAGCGTTTCGGGACGGTTCTTTCTGTTTTTTTTTCTTCATTTTGCGTTAATTGCTGTCTTGTTACTAGTATGTGAGCCGCAGAACTGACCATTTTTGAACAAGGGGCGTGCCTTTCGAACCATTTATCAACCATATATGTCAAACCATAAGTCAGACAAACCACAGAAACTGATAGGATCCACCTCTCTGTTCCTAATATCTTGAGATCAGAGACACGGAACGGTAAGGTGACGGGTATGACACTTATTAAATGAATCGTGAGGTGTCAGTTGATATACTTGTGAAAAAACAGAAAAATCTTTGGAGTGCTTCGAATAAGACCTCTCATACCTCTGATTTCCTTGTTGAGTTTACCAAGGCGGAGCGGCTCCTGGAGAAGGACTTATAAGTTATTCAAAATTAAGGGATCCCGAAACTCAATCCCAGTCACCCTTACACAGTATCTCCTTCCTGTTCCTGTAGCTTAAGGGTTTACGAGAATTCGGTTGCAAACTACTCACGTCATTCAATAGAATTTGTTACCTGCAATTCTCCAACTCAGATATAGTCGTACAATACCGGCCGACGTGATACGTGTTGGTCAAGGACGCGACGCGGCTGCCGGTGAGCTTGCGAGCGTGGCCGAATCACCTGCTTCTCCAGCCCTAATTCTGGCTCGCTTTCCTCATTAGTTTACGCTGTTTCACGCCGCTTTTCTCACGATTTTCTTCTTATTTTTTTTGGTGGATTAGTTTGCTCTATCGTCTCCTTTTTTGTGAATATATAAAGCTATATGGGACGAAGAGCGTTTTCTTTTGTTTTTGCAATAGGAGGTGTTTGCCGCATTTGTTTTCAGCTATTTGTTCGCGTCGTCTGAATATTGTTATTTAATTGTACACTCAAAAAAACCACAATTAATCTCAATCGTAATTTATACTTGTGAGACAACTAGCAACTAGTCGCTGAAAAAAAACACGCGCCATATAAAGCGTAAACTTAGGGAGAAAAATGACCTAAAAATAGATTGAAAGACAGGTGATCGCGTCTCGCAACACACCGCAGAATGGAAAACGCGTCGCGATCCTTGCCGTAATAATCAAGTCACCGCGATGAAAACTCGTACAGTCTCCCTTGCTGCGCGATGCATGGGCGCTGCCAAGGATGGCGCTCCTCGCCGCCTATCTTCCCTTCTTTTTTCTGTCTCGTCGGCAAGCGACAAGACTGTATCATATCGTATATCGCAGTTGTTTTTCATCAATTGTTGTTGCCTACCCGCTTCAGCAGTTAGTGGAGAATAGGCTGGCGGCTCACCAAACCCAGCCTTACCGACACGCCCAATCAATCCCTCTTGCAACGAACTGTAACCTGTGATTAGAAGTTTGCGCTAAACCGAAGTACAGTCCTCATCATGCGGACCGGTTTTGGGCATGTCAGCCCAGAAGGAGGCACACAATGTTAACCGTCCTCAGCCTTTGTTTGTATGCAGCAGCGTATGAACAGCAAAAAGTAACGATAGAAACGAGATATACAGCGATTATCGATATGCACTTGCCGTATCAACACAGCGAGAGTGCCGAAGATCTTGCCACAGATGCGCCAGCACTGCCCGCCACAGAGTCAGCAATTTAGATGAGGACATTATAGTAGACAGACTCGATATGGAGATATATGCCAGAACGGGATGGAATTACTATTAAGCGACCTAGAAGCTAGATTATAGAGAGAAGGCAGAGAGAGGGGCAGTGGCATTTAGCTCCTCTACCGCATGATAGAACAGAGTGGCAGGATGGCTTCGACTTACATAATAATAACTGAGTTTACCCCTGTTACTCCTGAACATCACCTTATTTCGTCCGCTCCATCTACTCACCCATTGGGCGTCCAGCCCAAACCAATGCAAACGTACAGTCTGCCTGAATATAAAGACAACAATCTATGTCGGGCTTCTCTCCGTGGCTCATGGCACCAGCACTGGACCAGCAAGACTTAGCAGAGCTCCTTTTCCCCGTTTTCGCCTAAAAAAGTCGCTAATATTCTTCAGCTGCCAGACTTCTTGATGAGCATGGAATTTTCAGCAGAATTCACGAGAAATGCATGCCGTAGTCGTGGCTTCTCGAGGAGCCATGAACTACTTCTGGGATAAAATCCGAAATGGTTATGACGGATGCGCTGTGACCAGTGAACCAAGCACTTGCCTGAGTGACGTTGTGCACCTGAATCTGCGGGAAGACGCTCGCGAACGGTCTAGGTAATACTGACTAGTGTTATAGGTAGTTTTCCCGAGTACTCAAGACTTTTCAGGTTTCATGTTATGCAAAGGCATTTCTCCAGGTATAAAGAGCAAGATCATTCGCACACGGTTATGGGTTATGACGACGGAGCTCAGGTACACTCTATATCCTCGAGATGGGGAGGGCGTGGCAACGGCTGCTGCACTGTTGATTGGTTTTGCCGTTCTGAGACCACTGTACTGATGTCTTTGTCCACTAAAAGACAGGGCGACAGTTGTCTGATATGGGAATATCTTACAAAAAACGATACTGCTCCATATTCAAGTCGTTTCAAAGTGGAAGTACGCAGCCACGCCCTCCTCATTTCCTGGAAATGGAACACATATGCACTATTTCTACCAGAGGAAAAACAACAGTATGATGTAAACGAAAATAATCCTTTTTTTCCAGGCTCTATCAATGGTGAGCGATTCCCTCATTAGCCTGCATAATCTCACTGCTGAAGATTTTCGAATATTTGATCTGCTTCTGAATAGGATCAGAGTTGCCCCAAAGTAATAAATATGTTCTTTACGACCAATTTCGGCTTTCAAATAGGTATTATATTGAATTGTGGGCACTATTCCACTATTATTACTCCGAAAGTCAATTTTTTTTCTCGTTGAAACTCTACTCGCAAGGTGTTTCAGTGCCGTGATCACGAAAATAGCATTCATTTTGCAACAGCATTTATTTTTTCATTGTTAGCGCTCCGCTAAGGCTGAGGCTGAGAAGAGAGTGATTCCCTTCCACCCTGGCTCAGTCCCAGCAGACTAGAGGGTCCCACATTGGCACCGCCGCCAAAAATGGATGTCAGATCCGTGAACAGGATGTCAAATAGCTTCCGTAGATAAGTTTTCATCATTTTTGGTAGGATTGGTGGTGGCGCCTAATAGCGCCAGCGCTAAAAATGAATGTTGTTTTTCTTGCCAGGGCACTGAATAATCTCTGTGGGAGAAGGTTCAGCCAAAATTTTTTTTCGAGGTTTTTGGAGTAGAAATAGTGGAATAGTGCCGAATTGTGTACCATTGTAATTGTGACATGAATTTGATGAAGCATTTACGATTGTCGTGATATTTTGAGACACTACCCGTTCCTGCTCCAATTTTCCCATTTCAGCACCCCTCCGTGCCAGTTGTTCATAGTGCACACACCAGCAACTTTCACTCCAAGGATTGTGAAATCTTCTTCTTATCAGAGCGACATTCGAAACACCCTCATGCAGGGCACATCGTTGTTGGGGATTCTGATTTGGTAGCTGATTTTTCTTGTTTCAGGGGCGCTATGAAGGGGGGGGGTGTTTTTGGTCGTTGTTGGGAGGGGTTGGTCGTGTCTGGCTTACGGCCTTCTAAGAGACGGTGTTGATTTTTCGTGGGTTTTCTTGTTTCATAGATACCATACCCTTCCCCTTCCCCGCTCGACAGTGCAGTTTTTGGGAAAAACTGGGGAAATTTCCGGGAAATTCCGAAAAAACTGGTACTTAGGTTGAGAAAATGGAAAAGTGGTAGATAAGACGGGTAGGAAGGGCCGTATCTTCCTACAGATTGATGAGTAGGGGAGTAGGGGGTCGATATAACCACGGGGGGGGGCGTCTCGACTAAAATCCCTAATCATGTGCCTTGCCCTAATGAGTACCTCAAGACGCATCCCGCTGTTGCGACCTGAGCTTTTTTTGAGCTATAAACACGTGACACAACTTGACTTCCCAGCAGAGGAAATAGTGGACAAACCTGGCTAGAACTGCCTAAGTTAAGCTCAAGAACGGACAAGCATTCAAGGAAACGAGACGCAATTACGTTTTTGAGAGACCAGAGGAAAAAAAATCGAGGAAAGCTACATGAGCTGTAGAGTTGGAAAATCAGCCAGACGACAAAGGAAAACCCCCACATGTCAAGCATCACTCGCTTCTCCAATGACAGCCTCCCATTGGTATATTTCTAAGGTGCAAAAATAACCTATTTC